CTCTTTTTAACACCCTCATTCTTCCCCTGGTTTGGCAGGAGAAGCTGGGCATGTGCAGCCCAGACTCTTCCCTTTCTTTCTCTCTGCAGAGCTGTCAGCACATTTTCCCTTCCTCCTCCATGCAGTAACTCCTATGGTGTAGGCACCCCAAGCCATGGGGGCCTCCTAGCCTGACCCTCCTGTAATTGGTAGGTAAGGCAGGGTGATGGGGGCTTCACTGTTAGCACATGTACTATTCTACAGAAGTAGCTACATCCTCCTACTGTACCATTATTAATTATTAAGGTGATGTTTTGGCTCCATATGCTGACTCCTTTATCTTACTTCTCAATTTATGTAGACTTTGAGTAGGGAAGAAGGGTATTATTTATTGGACTCAAACCCTTTCTGACAAGATTATCTGTCACACCTCACAAAACGGTTCATATTTTAAAAATATTTTCAGGCAAAAGCTTCAGTAACCATTATAAAGTCAATCAATTTTAAGGATTTTAGTAAATATAATGGCAATACAAAATGAAAAGGAAACTTTAACTTCAGTATAAAGGAGATTTTTTCTATTTAAGTCTTACCTGTACAGCGACCATCTGTGTACGTGGAATATTTGTTACTGCATTGGTACTTTCCGGATTTACTTCACATTTGTTGTCAGAATTTCCAGAGTGCCCATCATTTCTGTTAGACTCGCTTAGGACTGTATCAGCATCACCTGTGCTGCACGGTGACTTTATAGATGTTCCCAAGGAGTCCTCCAGGATCTGTGTTCCAGAAGCAATCTGGTTGCCAGTGGCATTCTCAGCACTCAAATGATGACCCTCAATATATGCAGCAGCATTTTTATCTGCTCTGTCATCAGCTACAAAAGATGGCGCCACGGGTACTGATCTTTGCAGCTGATATTCAGAAGAAATGTTGGCCAAAGGTGCATACAGGCTGGCGTACTGGGGCAAACTTGGTAACATGTTTATGTATGTTGGAGTTGCCTGGGTGATATCAAATCTCTGAAAAGGAACATATGTACAGAATCCTGTGACCAAATGGGATTGAGTCCAATAGGTTAGTTTCACATCCTCAGTAATTATTGTAGGAGAATCAGAAGAAAGGTGCTTATGATTTGCATCCTCAGAGACTGGTTTGGGAGAATTAGCAGCGCCCTCTTCAGATTTCCCATCCTCAAAAACTGGTGTAGAAGAATCATCGGCTACCAGTTTGGGCTTCGTATCTTCACAAGCTGGTTTGGGAGGATCAGCAGGTACAGGTTTGGGCTTCACATCTTCAGAAGCTGATGCTGAAGATGAATCAGACACTGGTTTGGACTTTACATCTGGTTTAAATTCCCTAGCAGCTGGATTCAGTGGTAGTTTAACTCGTAAATACTCTCCTGTTTTTGAAATTTCTTCTACTTTTGTTTTAATGTTTTTCTTCTTCCTTTTTTTCTTGAGTCGTAATGCAACTTTCTTCAATGCAATACAGTTGTCAATCACAACAAAACGAGGACATCCCAGGAGAAAAGATTTTAAACCTCCTGCTTTTTCTAGTATCTGTCGCGTTTCTTCTGGGAAAAACTCATATTCTTCAGAGAACATCTTGTTACTCATATCCAAAGGACCATGTTCCTCCAACAACTGAGAGAAGTAACTTGGAAAAAATTTACATTTACATGAGTTAGTATAATGAGGTACTTGCACATGTTTAACTGAAAAAAAATGATTATTCTCCCAAAGTAAACTACTACTATTTCACTTCTCACTGATCTCAACTCTTCCCCAACAAGAAATATAAGGATAACTGCAATGAATGATATTATAAACAAAATTTTGTCTACCCCTTAGAAAATACACCTTTGTCTTTTTGAGAAAGAGCAAAAGGGAATCAAAAA